TGATGTTCTTTTTTTATAGTGGTACCAACACCTTAGTCAAGGAAGAATACTATTGGAACTCAGTATTTTTTAACATAAACTCCAAAAAGGAAAATACTAAAGTTGTTTATTAGGTTTCCTTGGCATGGAATTTAACAAAGAATTAACTGAATTAACCAGAAATTACATGCATTTTAAAACCTGCCAGTCATAAAGCACAAAAGTGCTAGAGTACATATTAAAAGAAATGTTCACTGTTGATCACTTAAAAAGTGTTTCTATTGCAAAATCTTTTATACTGATAATAGGCCATCTACAGGTTAATCTCATTCTACTTCTCAATGAAGTCACACTTATGAATAAGGAAACAGGATGTAAGGAGGACAGGTTCTTTGAGTCATAGACATGACCTCATGAAAGTATGACCAAAGTAATTTTCCTATGACTCCCTAACAAGCTTCAAATTGAAAGTCACTTTTCTGAACAAATATAGCCAAGAACGAATATATAGCCCAGTCAAAGACAAGTGGAATCCTACAGTAATACGAATCTACTCGCAATATTTTCTTTTTCTTTTTTTTTTTTTTTTGAGTTGGAGTCTCACTCTGTCGCCCAGACTGGAGTGCAGTGGCCGCTCCCGGCCACCGCAGCCTCGACCTGCTGGGCTCCGGCGATCCTTCCGCCTCAGCCTTCCAGGTAGCTGGAATTACAGGCATGCGCGACCACGCCCAGCTGATTTTTTGATTTATTATGGAGATGAGGTCTCGCTGCCCAGGCGGGTCTCGAACCCGCGGGCTCAGGCAATCCACTCACCTCAGCCTCCCAAAGGCGCGGGATTACAGGCTGAGCCACCGAGCCCGGCCGCAATATTTTCTTTTAAGTTACAGAAGGAGAATTCAGGAAACATTTTTAACTACCATGGTGTGGGTAAAAGCTATTCAAAATTTATTATTTCTTTGTTAAAATTCTGAAAATAATAAAAAAAATTAAAAAAACTTATTAAAATAACTTATTCAATTATTGTGATATGCTGTTCCATGTAAATGACCAAGTAAGCTATTATGTTATAAAGTTACATTTTACTGGCCTATTTGGTAGCCATGTTACATGTGCTCAAAATGCATTTCTCACTAAAACAGAATACAGAGTAAATGAATGTCCAACTACCTGTCCTGTGTACAAGAAAACACCCATAAATATTTTCTAATCATAGGTAGTTCTAAAAACACGTCTTGGATAGTTTATTATATTATATTATATTATATTATATTATATTATATTATATCATATCATATCATATCATATCATATCATATTATAAGATTAGAGCATATGCTCTAGGCTAAGAATTCAGTGCCTGGCTCACCTTTCTGTGTCTAGGCTCCTGGCCTGGAGGGGTGGGCAACACCAAGGTGAGTATGACCATCCCTGTCCTCAAGGAGCTTCAGTCTAGTAGGGGATGAGACATACTAGACTGTGAGCTCCTCGAGGGCAGGAAAAGTGTTTTAGTCATCTTTGCCCCAGTGACTAGCACCAGGCTCACTTATCGTAGGTGCTCAACAGTGTTTGTCAAACTGAATTGAACATGGGTTGCAGCCATCTGTGGCAGCATAAGGTAAGCCTGACAAGAAGAATAAAGAGATCTGAAGACTCAGAGGGCGGAGGCTAGTGAGCTGTGAAGTTATAGAAGAGCCAGAGCATGAAAGAAGCCAAGAAGACGGGCAGGATCTCTCCAGGTAGAGAAGAAGGCATTCCAGGTCAAGAGAGGTTTAGTTTGGCCACAGAGTCTGAAAGAGATGAGAAGACACTCTCGAGTCATAATAGAAGGAGTTTTAAATGCTATCATGGAAGCCTCTACACAAAGATGAGAGGTTTGACAGAAACCCACTGAAAGTTGTTTTGAGCAAGGGAGTTAGTTATTTTTCCACAGGGATGGTTCAGGAAGATTGATTACGTCAGTCAAGCCAGCCAGATGGGAGAAATCCAGGTATGGGAGGTAGAGGCAAAGAGTGGGAAGCAAGATTCTAGGATGGCGATGAAGATAAAGGTACCATTCTAACCTGGAGAAGGTGAGGAAGAAGGGCTGACTTAGAAGAGAAGGTAGCAGCTTTGGTTTTTGGATAAATATGATATCTAGTTTGCAATTTTAAATGTAGGTTTGGAACTTGTAAGAAAAGGGCAGGACCGCGTGGAGGCGCGCGCCTATAGTTCTGGCTATTTGGAAGGCTGAGGCGGAAAGATCACCGGAGCCCAACAGGTCAAGGCTGCGGTGGCCAGGAGCGTGCCACTGCACTCCAGTCTGGGTGACAGAGTGAGACCTGAACTCAAAAAAAAAAAAAAAAAAGGAAAAGAAAAGGGCAGGACCACAGCTAAAGATAGATGGAGGTAAGAAGCAAAGCCACATCAATGGGTTAAACAATCCAAGAGATGTACTGAGAGAAAATGGGGGAGAAACTAAGAAGCTGAGAATGGAAATTTGGTTAGTACTCATAGAAATGGCAGAGAAAGGAGATGTCAGGGAGGTAGGGTGACAGAATCAGTATCAGAGGTAAAAAATGTCAAGGAAAGGATCTGTCAAATTCTGAGGAAAGATCAAGGAGGAATAACTTTATGAACCAAACATGAAATAATGTATGTTCAAAAGCCAGCTGTAATAGTGAGAGAACATGGAATTAGGTTATATGAGAACTAAAAAATTAGAGACTGTAGTTTTCTTTACGCCAGCTCTGGCAAGTCACACTTTCTCTTCTACCTTTTTTCTCTAATAAGCTTTGTTTTAAAACTTAAAAAAAAAAAGAAATTAGAGATTTTTAGCTTGAAGACAACTAGTGGAGCTAAGAAAACTGTCTAGAAATACCTAAACAGCTATCATGTGGAAGGTGGAGTAGAGTTGTCCTACAGGGCTCTGGAAAGTGGAACAGGCCAGCGGGTGAGAGATACAGAGACCCAGGGTGTGTCTGAAAGACACAGTTCTCATTGTACTGTAAATACCCACTGATGTCTCTGTCTCCTCTACCAGTCTGTAAACTCTTTGGAGGTAGGGACTGGGTTTTGATCACTGTGGAACCCACAACACCTAGCTTAGAACAACAAGGTGCTTAGCAAACACGTGAAGCCTGGATTCTTCTTTTATCCTTCTACCTAGGGGTCTTCACTCTCTCCCTGTAAGGACCCTCAACTACCAGGTTGAGCTGCCTAAAGATGTGGTGAGATGGCGGAGATAAACGGGCTTTCAGGGTTTTTGAACTTTGGTGATTTTTTTGGAAAAATACTAAAATACAAAAGCAAGAAAAACTCCAATAAAACCTCACATAGAATCAGAGGAGTCTCCAAATGTGAAAACAGTTGATATAGTACACAATGGACCATGATGTTGTTTACATAATAAAGCTCCTTATGCCTATGTATCACATTAGACTAACTTGTCTATTAAAGTACTACATCTCAATCTAGTTTCTTAATTCAATTCAATTCAACAAATGTTTATGGAGCACTTATATGGTGCCAGGTCCTAAGCTTGGCACTAGGACTGCAGAAATGAATAAGACAGAGTGCTGCCCGTCAAGAGTGCTTGATTCTCGCCAAGGACACAGACAAGCATACAAGAACCTCCCCAGGCCAGGCGGCAGGATAGACAGGGCACACACTTCTCTGAGGGACACAGCACACTAATGGTCCCTGAGAGATCCCTCCATGAGATAGGCAACTACCAGAGGTTTGGGTCTAGCAGTGTCTGGCACAAAGTAGGAGTCACAAGATGGTACCTAAACAAGCAAAGGATAGTTATTTATTTGTTTGTTTGTTTATTTATTTTCTGAGTTGGAGTCTCACTGTCACCCAGGCTGTAGTGTAGTGGCACACTCATGGCCACTGCAGCCTTGACTTATGAGGTTCAGGTGGTCCTTCTGCTTCAGCCTTTCAAGTAGCTGGAACTACAGGTGCATACCACCACGCCTGACAAATTTTTTGATTTATTGTAGAGACAAGGTTGTCCAAGCTGGCAACAGGTTGCCAAGGTCACCAAGTAGCCAAGTTGGTCTCAAACCACTGGGCTCAGGCAATTCTCTCACCTCTGCCTCCCAAAGTGCTGGGGTTACAGTTGTGAGCCACTGCCTGGCCAAGCAATGGACATTTAAACATTTAAAATACAATAACGGAAGTATTCAAAATGTGCCAAAGAGTGGCTACCTCTTTGGGGGTAGGGTTGATTAGGACGGTTTCCTGAAGGAGATTAATATCTGGTAACACCTAAGCTGGATTCTGAAAACTGAATAGGAGTTTATCAGGTGGGAAAAATGGGGAAAGGTACTTCGGGAGAGAAAATAGCATGTGCAAAGGCAGTGAGCTGTGATAGGAGAATTGTTAGTAATTAAATACTGCTGGAGCATAAAGTATCAGGGAAATGAAGGGGCTGCGTGAGATGAGACTGCAGAGGCTAGCAGGGACTAAGTTATCATGGATCTCCTAGTCAGAAGCTAGGGGAGAGAGATCTGATCAAAATTGGAACTTCATTAAGATTTAAAGATATAAGCCAGGCTCGGTGACTCAGCCTCTAATCCCACACCTTGGGAGGCTGAGGTGAGTGGATAGCCTGAGCCCATGAGTTTGTGACCCGCCTGGGCAACTTGGTGAGACCTCACCTCTACAATAAATAAAATTAGCTGGGTGTGACAGCGCATGCCTATAGTTCCAGCTACTTGGAAGGCTGAGGTAGAAGGATCGCCGGAGCCCAGCAGGTCAAGGCTGTGGTGGCAGGGAGCGTGCAACTGTACTCCAGTCTGGGTGACAGAGTGAGACTTCAACTCAAAAAAAAAAAAAAAAAAAAAGATTTAAAGATATAATCTACTTAAGACTTTGGCAAGGTCTAGAGAAAGAAATGCAAATCAATTTTTAAAATAATTATAACTGACCAAAAAATAGTTCAGCCTCAGATGCAAAATGACTGGAAAATGCTATTACTGCAAGGAGTAGAAGCAGCAAACTCTGCCCCCACCCCAGCCCCTCTCTACCCCCCACTCCTACCTGAGCTGAGCTTTAAGTTCTGTAAACCTGGGTCGCCTGCTGGGGTCGTAGGCCCAGCATTTCGTCATAAGGCTGTAGAGGGTAGGAGGACAATTTGGAGGCATTGGTAATCTTTCCCCATTTTCAATTCGACCGATCACATCATTGTTCTTCACTCCTTGAAAAGGCTTCACACCATGCATCAGTATCTCCCACATACACACACCTGTGAAGTAGGGATGAAAACACAACTGTGAGTTCAGCATCAAGACTGTAACTCAGGTTCCAGGAATAATGTCACAGAGTACCAGCTGGGAGATTCTGTGCAAGTTATCTACCAAAGCAGCATTCAGTTAACTCTAGCATAAAATAAGAACAGCAATAATGATTTAATATGATGTGAATAACGAAATACTGAATTATTATCAAGGAAAAAGTCATAATTTTTCTCAGAGATTTATTTCTCTGAAAATCCTGTGTTAGAAAATAGCCCACCAGCTACATTGATACTTCATGGCTTAATTAATGCGTCAAAAAAAAAAGCTGAATTTTAGATTCTCTCTTACTTCAGTTCAATCTCTTTATTTTATACTTACAGCAACTGGCCTAAGGTCTAACAAAGAAAATTTTTAAATTTAAGTTTCATGCTCTTAGAAAACTCAGATTTCTTACAATGTTTCCCTTAACAAGGTTGGCCGGTCATTGTCCAGGGTGTATAACGGCATTACTATCTGGTTTATTCATGGATAAGTCACTCTTTTCCTACAGAAAGCTACAGACTTCTGTGGGCTGCAGTGATCTCACCCACAAACACCACAGCATGACCTCAAGAAGCTTACTTACACGCTACCCTTGGGAAATACATACTTTCTCAGTATCTTTGAATAATCCTTAATAATTCACCTTTAAAACAAACAAAAAAGCCCCAGAAGCTGATGATAACCACATAATACAATGAAAAGGAAACAGAGAAGAGGTTGGCATAAAGGGTGGATGTTTTTCCTTAGTACCATAGCATCAATGCTCTGTACTTGGCCATTCTAGGCTCTCTGCAGCCTTCTGAAACACGCCTTTGCTTTGGTTACATTCTCTATGTGTAATGTCTACTTCTTCCTCACAAACTCTCCTCTTTGTAGATACATTTGTAATGCAGTTCTCTAAAATGTTTTTTCTAATTCTTCCCTGGGAAAAATTATTGTCATTTTAAATCTATTTTTTGCAAGGCATATTACCATCTTAATGTGAATTATTCTCAAATTAGCCAAAAATCCAAGAATTTCAAAGTACAGAGTGCCTGACAAAAATAATGCCTAGTGCCTTTCTCACCAGAAGTTATGACAATATTATTGGTAGTAACAACATGGATAACATTGCTTGAGAACTTAATGTGTCAGAGCTCTTCATTAAAACTTATATATATTATTCTTAATCCTCACAATAACCCTAAGTTTCTTTTAATACTGTATTTTATCAAATCTGATAAAATAATATCGATTAAAGAAAACACCATTATTTTATATGGCCAAGAAAAGAGGGAGCACGCTGACAACTAAATTATGATATAATCCCTTCTTATCTCTTATAATTTTTACTTTATTCTTACCAAAAGAGCTCTTTTAAACTTGTTCTGACATGAAAGTAACACAAACAAAATAGACAAAGTCTACATGAGTGCAGGCAAGGACAACTACATTTTAAAATGTCCCAGCAAGGTGTGGTGGCTCACACCTGTAATCCCAGCACTGTGGAAGGTCAAGGCAGGAGGATTATTTGAGCCCAGGAATTCGAGGTTGCAGTGAGCCATAATTATGCCACTGCACCCCATCCTGGGTGACAAAGCAAGACCCTGTCTCTTAAAAACAAAAGCCCCCGATGATTACCAATTGTAAAATGCCACTGATTTTAAGATATACTCCAGTTTTAGAAATGTTAAAATGTGAAAAAATGGGTATCTTAGAATCGCTGAAATATGAGATTTCACTGAGAAGATAAGTAACTCACTCTGTGGGTTACACAGCTAACATCTGAGGTGCTGGGATTTGAATCCATATCAATTTGAAGTCCAAATATGACTAGCCTTTTCTAATCATGTCATGCTATATCCTGTTCTATATGAAAGTTCTTTCCTTTACCTCATTATCAGTTAGGGCACTACGTGGTTATTAAGAACCAACAGCATGTAAACTGAAGAAAAAAGTAAGAACACTTACTTGATAAATATAAAGTCATTTTTATTTATAGGAGAAAAATATAAACTCAGCAGGGCATCTCCTCTGAAGTAGTTTCTAATCTAGCAGAGATAACATGTACACAAGACTATTATAGGACCTGCATGTGAGTGTTATGACAAAGAAAAAAAGTGTAGGGAATATAGAGAAAGGGAGTTTGTATTTGGTGGCGATACCCGCTGCATAAGGCTTCAAGGAAATTGGGACATTTAAGGTGGACCTTAAAAGTGACATAGAATTTCAACTGGAGGAGAGGGTGTAAGGATAAGACATATCATGTAGAAGGACTAGCACCAGGAGGTGGGGAGTGGGGTGGAGGGGAGTCATCCACGTTAAAAAGAGTCATTCTAAAATTTGGATAAAGTGGTTTAAGTAAGTAGTATAGAATGAATTAGAGACACATTCACACCAACCGAGAGTGTGATAACCACAGAGCAGGAGAAGGCAGAGGATAATGACTTTGGAACAGGTGGGAAGGGACAGAACAGACATCAAAGAAGCAGAAGCTACAGAAGATGGTTGAACTTCTAAGCCTGGAGACAGGTCAGGAGGCTAAATTCCAGAATAAAAATAAGAGGCACAATTTTAGATGCTCTGGGTTAGAGGAACCAGGTGTTAACTGTTAAAAGTCCTTCACATAAAGGGAATGAATGAGATGGCAAAAGGAGAGAGAGGAGAGAAGAAACAGACTCTTCTCTGTGAGGGAAGAGACAGCAGAGGGGAACAAAAAAGAGGAGTGATGGAAGGATCTGGTGAGTAAGAACAGTGGACCCTTATGGAAGCCACGCCCAGAAGCTGGGGCACAGAAGTCAGACTATTTGCTAAATGAACCAAAAAATGTTTGATGAAGAAGATAGGCTAGGGAAGGCAGATCAACCTACATATTCTGAAAAGAGACTATGCTACAATTATTTCGTATAATCTATAAGAAATAATTTTAAAAATACAAAACTTTAAAAAATACTCACCAGAGGATGGGGAAACACCTCTTATCAACAGGGTGCCTGAATGAAACGTAAATGTACCTAACCCTTAACTGTACCCCACAAAACCATAATAAAAAATATTGATTATGGAAAAAATAATAATAATAAATAAATAAATAAAAATACTCACCAAACATCCATACGTCACTAGCTGAGGTAAACCGTCGAAAATTGATTGACTCTGGCGCCATCCATTTAATAGGCAATTTTCCTTTGGAAGCTAGAAGAGTAATTTTACAAAATCAGTTTTCCCTGTTATCTGCTTAAGAATCTGACATAGCTAGCTGAGATTTTCAGTATCAAAAGAAAAAGCTTTAACTATGTGACCCCTCAGAGTTTCCATTTCTTTGTGAGAACTACTTTTCATTTATTTGGCATGTTTTGAGGTCTCTGGGGGTGAGAAGTGGCTATACAGATAGAGGACGAAAATACGAGTGTCCTTCCCTTCAATTACAGGTAGGGAGCAGGGAGGTAGTGCAAATCCTGGTTAATCAGAGCTATTAACTTGCAGCTCCATCATGTAAGGTTTCACAGTTGACTAGAACAGATCTTCATCTTTAGACTGAGGCAGAAGGATCATTTGAGCTCAGGAGTTTGAGGCTGGGTGAGCCGAGATCCCGCCACAGCACTCCAGCCTGGGCAACAGAGTGAGACTCTGACTCAAAAAAAACCAAATAGAGGCCCACAGGTTAAGTGACTTGCCTGCGGCTGCTCCATTAACATGTGCCAGAGTTGAAATTTAAACTCCTATAACGAGTCCCAATTCTGAGTTGTGGGCTTTGTCCTGTGCTGCCTCCTTCCAGCCCCAGTCTGTCCTCTCCTGCACTGAGGCAGGAGACAGAGTGTCACCTTGTTGGACCTCAGTTAGGAATATGCATATGGGGGAAACTCAAATTTTCTGCTGTTGAATGAATGCCTCATATTACTACAAAAGCACCTTGAGTATTGCCCCGCTTCAAAGGGGCCTAGGTAGGCAAGGCTAGGCTATGCCAGCCTGTCAAGGTTCAAGACTTTCTTCTGTGAGCAATGAGTTACTTTTGAAGACTATTAGAATTCTTAGAATGGGAAGCATTTTGGAAGAATTCCTAACCTTTTGGAGTTATATTTCCACAGCCCAAAGGAATTTATAGATAATTACTAACCTTTCTGAGATGATAATATTTGTGTGAATTTGCCAAATGCCCATTTTAGATACTGTTTAAACAAGGGGAAATTTTGGTCATCATATGACTTGAAATTTAGCTCTTTTTTGAAATTCTAGGACTTGAACTAGTAAAAATTAAAGCTAGATGTAAATAAAATGTGTTTCAAAATAGTGTGCAGTCAACTTAGTCTTTTTTAAAGCTAAATGACTAAATAACCAAACGAATAAAAAACCAAACAATTTTCTATTCATACATCACAGGATTTTTGTTAAAATAGTTACAGACTGTAATATACAGGAAACATGGAAAGAGAATAGTTATGAAATACAGTGTAAAATGAAAGAGACTAGATTTGTATATAAAAATCTGGGGTCATTTTGCTGCAATATAAAAATCAAACACACCGAGAAAGAAACTGGCTTTTGTAAAATGGTAGTAATAATTAGTATATATGCAATATAAATTTATCAATCCAAATCTTAGCTAAAGTTCTAGGAATATGAAAATATTGTTAATAAAAATATTTGTCAATAATAATTTGAAGAACCAATTCAATATGATCCCAAGATTGACAAAATGAAAAGATTTCAGTTAAAGAAAAAACTAATGGATCAAAGTTGCTAGAATTAGTAGAATGGAGATTTTTAAGTCAGATTCCTTTCACTGAGGTAATATAACCACACTCATCTGGTATGAGATGACTGTGTCTACCAGTTGAAGGACATCTGAGATGATTTCACTTCGAATTTTTGGCTATTACAAATAAAACTGCAATGAATATTTGGGTACAGATTTTGTGTGAATTCAAGTTTTCACCTCTCCAGGAGAAATGCCTAGGAGTGCAGCTGCTGGGTTGTATGGTAGTTGCATGTTTAGTTTTTTAAGAATTTTCCAAATTTTCCCCAGACTATTTCTACCATTTTACATATTTACACTGACAATTTATGAGAGATTTAATTTCTCTGCATCTTTGCCAGCATTTGGTGGTGTCCCTATTTTTATTTTACCAATTTTGATAGGTATGTAGTGTTACTTCATTGTGTTTTTAATTTGCCTTTCCCTAATGGATAAATATGGTAAACATCTATATCTTCATTTGCTTATGTACAAACGCTATATATCTTCTTCAGCAAAATGTTTCTTTATATCTTCTTCCCATTTCTTTTTTCATTCTGTTGCTCAGGTTGGAGTACAGTGGCACAAACATCACAGCCTCGAACTCCTGGGCTCAGGTGATCCTTGTGGCCCCAGCTTCTCAAATAGCTGGGACTACAAGGCTGGTGCCAATATGCTCAGCTAATTTTTCAATTAATTAATTTTTTTTTTTAGATAGATATAAGCTCTTGCTATATTGCCTAGCCTGGTCTCTAACTCCTGGGCTCAAGCAATCCTCCTGCATAGGGCTGGAATTACAGGCATGAGCCACTGCACCAGGCCTTTTTTCATCATTTCTAAATGCATTCTTTGGTTTTTCTTTAATTGTTGAGTTTTGAGAGTTCTTTCTATATTCTAGACACCAGTTCTTTATCAGAGATGTGGTTGGCACATATTTTTTCCTACTTCATAGCTTCTCTTTTCATTCTTTTAACAGCGTCTTTCGCAGAACAAAAATTTCTAATTTTGATGAGGTTCAATTTACCAACTTTTTCCTTTTATGAATCTTTGTTTTTGGTATCAAGTCTAAGGACACTTGGCCTAGCCCTAGATCCCAAAGATTTACTCCTATGTTTTTTTCCTACTAGTTTTATAATTTTATATTTTGCAATTAAGTCTATGATCCATTCTGAGTTCATCTGAAGTAAGATTTATAGGTTTAGGCTGAGGTTCATGGTTTCACCTAGGGAGGTCCAACTGGTCAAGTGCCATTACTGAAAAGGCTGTTTTTCCTTCACAGAACTAATTTTATAACTCTATCTAAAGTCAGTCGAGCATATTAGAACATACTTATTTTAGAATTACGAATACATTAAAGATTCTGAGCCTATTTCTTAGTTATTGCTCTGATATCTTACCTTTGTAGTAAGTACTGTCCTCCATATATCGTGATAATCCAAAGTCTCCTAATTTTACACAATCATTTGAGGACACCAGAACATTCCGAGCAGCAATATCCCTGATAAATAATTTGGGACAATAAATCTTGACACAAGAAAAACAAACCCACAGATTCATCTATAGTATATAAAGACACGCTGGTGGGCACTTTGACAGACAGGTTAAATGCAAACAGATTTATTATACTTTATAGTACATACATATAATTTACTTCACATATATTCATTCTGGCAGACATATATCCATTAATATGATAATTATTTTTCTGAATAATGGCAAAATATCTTCTCAAATAATAAAAGTCCCTATTACTTTTCATAAAAATCATATAATCAACTGCATTAACTGATAGACAATGATACACAACTGGGATCTGTAACCTTGTCATTACTAAAGAGATCTCATTAAATAGAAGCTACCTTCTAAACACTTGTAAATGATTTTGCTGATGCAGTTTTATTTATTCATTTTTTTTTTAGAAAGCAGGATTTATTGAGAGGACAGAAAAGCTCCCACAGTGGGAAGGGACCTGAAGGGGCTACCCCAGTTTTATTTTTTAAGAGACGTAATTTATGTTTACTTCTTTTTTTTCTTTTTGGTTTTAACGGCAGTTTGTTTTAATGCTGGATAACAAAACCCTAATTTTAACACCATACTTGGCAAATAAATTGTAAGGGTTTTTACTTGCATTCAAGCAGAGACCCAGGCTATAAACAGAAATTCCAGACTGCCAACAGATGTCTCTTACAAGGACAGTATCTGTTTTAGGGACCATTCCCACATGCTTATTGTTTTACTGCCAGGTATAGGTTCTCAATAGTATTTGTGTAAGAAATAAATTACCTGAAAATATCACATTATGTTCCAAACTCTACATGTGGAAAAATGCTTTAACTGTGTGCATTAACATGCCATGGCACTTCACTCAGGACATAACGCAGCATGACATTCTGGTAGGCATATATAATAGATTCCAATGGTACAAAGGTACAAAAGGGCTCCTGTTTCTCAACTAACCTTGCTCAGAAGGCAACTTACCAGCTTTATAAGTACATCTTACCTGTGTACAAATCTTTTGCTCTCTAGATATGCAAGAGCTGTGCTCAGTTGATAGGCATACAGGATCAAAGATGCTAGATCCAAACTGTATTTTCTTACTTGTAAAAATGATCTCAGCTTTTGGAACAATGGCCAAGGTAAAATAGAAAAATAGTTAGTGACAGAGAACTCAAAAGCAAAAGAGCTGCATTCAGTGACAATGCTGACCATGTCCAAACACATTTTTAATAATATGAGAATGGCTTCTAATAAACAAAATGTAACAAATGAAACATTTAAATTCAGGAATTATAATTAATAATTTTTAATTTGAAATCCTATTGTAAAATTAAAATATTTCTGACTATAGACAAGTTTCTAAAAAAATACAGTAAGATGCTTCAAAGGAATGGATAAAAGCATGGTATAATTTTTGGCTAAATAATAATAGTTGAAGACTTAAAAAGGTCTAGTTACTATTCAAACAAGTCTATTACACAAACAGTTCATTTCCACTTCAAACCTTATTATGTCTCTGGGAAAGTATGAAGATAACGTAATGAGGAGGAAGCAGAAGCAAGAAGGAGTCCATCTTCCCTCCCTTCCTCCTCCACAAAGTTTTGGATGCAGAAGGGCAGAACAGTCACCTGTTGTGTATTTATCCCATGGAGCTAACTAGTTCCTATCACACTGACACCATAATTCAGCTAAATGCTAATATGGCAAAGAAAGGCAAATACATTTAATACCCTATAAAACTCAATAAATTAAAAGAGAAAAACATTTAGCGATAGAGTTTTTGAGCCCGAAGAACTGTAAACTCTCCAAAAGCAGTAAGATAACTATGAACAAAAAACATACATAAACACTCCACTTGATTTGGAATCATAAGGCAGAGGAAGAAGAAATGTTTAGCAAATGAAAACAAACACAGCCTGTCCCCACTCTGATTAAGCAGGGCTGGGGTGGGGCACAAGAAATGGTAGTTTTAACAAGTTTCTAGGTGTTGGTGATGTACTGATTAAAGCAATTCCGTATTCTGGAGAAAGTCAGAGCTGATCACATTCTGCTACTCATATTTTTAAAAGAAACTGACGAATTTCACTTTGTTTAAAAAATACTGCAAAATGTTTAGATTTACCTAAAGCCAGCACTAATTTACCCAAACTCCATTAACATTGTTTCATCTTTGAACCATTGGGTTAGTTCTAGGCAATGGCACCAGAGAGAAAACAAAACAGAACATAACACTTGGCTACCTGTTGCTATCAGTCCTGATAAGACATTTTGTTGGGGAAGATACTGCTGCCAGTACTGCATAATGGGATTATTTGGGAATTTAATGATGAAGATAACTATACTCATTTCTATGAACTAAAATGATAATAAAATACATCCCAAATCAGAGCTCTTCTGAAAATTCAAGATATAAAACTGTATATATTTCCTTTTCTAAGCAAAAGATATCAAACAATGAGTGTAGACTAAATTATTACAAAATAAGAGACTCCTGTTTAGTCACTGTGACCAGACAGAAAGTAAGGTTTGGTTATCACGGTACCTCGCCAAGTGTGCATAGCTCCATGATTATCCAGACGGGATTCTCTGTGATGACTCCAATCAGCTTCACAATATGAGGATGATCAAACTGACGCATTGTTACTAGGGAAAAAAGTTGTCCAGTTATTCTTTTGAAAACTCTTTCAGTCTTTCTGAAGATAATTCACTTAATACACAAGTCAATAATGTGGGAACACCAAACTCAATCCCACAGGTCAGTTCAACTCACAAGTAGGCATGAGTCGGCAGAGAAAGGCGCATTCTACTATTGAGGCATAAGATAACCATTGCAGTAAACTCTTTAGAAATTTCCAGGGAGAATATATTGTGAATTAAGGGTTAAGAAAATTCTTTCTTCCTGCTACACATGTAGTGGAAGTGAAAAAAGAAAACAGAAAAAGAAAACCCTTTCTTTTTTCCTGTCGTCAAATTTGACCTTGGGCTAACTTTCTAAGTTTTCCTCTGGAAATCTGATAAATGAATTACATATAATTCATTTACTAGGAAAACATTCTTTATGATAAAAATCACTCCTGATTGGTAATTTGCTTGGGGAAGAGGTAGAATGGGACTACAAATACCTGGTGGGAAGCCATAGCCAGGAGCTTCCTTGAGTGTGATTACCATAGGAGGACATGTTTGCTGACTGGGCTTGGTGGCTCAGCCTGTAATTCCAGCACTTTGGGAGGCCGAGGTGAGTGGATTGCCTGAGCCTGCGGATTTGAGACCCGCCCGGGCAAACTTATTGTAGAGACCTCGTCTCTACAATAAATAAAAAAAAAAATTAGCCAGGTGTGGTAGCGCATTCCTATAGTCCCGGCTCCTCAGAAGGCTGAGGCAGAAGGATCACTGGAGCCCTGTAGGTCGAGGATGCGGTGGCCGGGAGCGTGCCACTACACTCCAGTCTGGGCTACAGAGTGAGACTCCAACTCAAATTTAAAAAAAAAAAGAGAGGACATGTTCCTTGCAGGACTCTGGAAGCCACACCTGTGGGGCTATCACAAAGGATTTCCCTTGGACATGAATAGTTCTTGCATCCACCACTGCGGTCCCCTTGCATGTCATTGGTTGTTTTCAGAGCCCTAAAGACTAGCTCTAGGACAGGTGCCAGGACTTTCATATGAGAGAAATATCTGCCTCTACCTTACTGGCATGCTTTGTTTCTGGTCCTCAGGGAGAGTCCAATGCTAAATGTGGCCTATGGCAGTCACATTAGTTTGATTGCTTAATTGAGTCCAAGATGGCCAAGAGGGCAATGTACATATATATACATACCTACTGTAGGCATGTATTTAAATGTGTATGTATTTATCATTTCTAATAGGGCTGAGATGGTCACTTGCACAGTACACGAGGATTAGTAAGACACAGAACAAACTTCACCCATCTTCAGGACCTCAAAACTGGAAGTGACTTCAAAGGTGACCTAGTCCAGTGGCTCCAAACACCTGATTTCATAGACTATTAAAATGGAAAAAAAATTTATGATGCCACGCAAGGAAATTAGAGTAACAGTGGAAGTAATTTTTTAAAAAAATGCTACCAATATGTAATATTATCAAGTAGCTGATATCTGACCATTGTTAAGAAAAATTGTGAAAATGGGCAAAAATTATTAGTGGGTGTTCTGTCTAGCTCACTCATTTATTTTACAACTCCTAAATTGTAGGAAACTGATAACAATGTACATAATTCTTGTTCCTAAAAAATTCCTACTTAGTTGTATGAGGAAAAACAAAATTTAAATTTTGCACATATTTAAAAATTCATTTTAGAATTCCTTATTCCCGTATGTGTGGTTCTTGAAATTCTCCCTTAAACCAGTTGTGACCTCTTGCTGGATCCTTCAAAAATAATTTTATTCCCTTCTATTCAATTTTTCTGCCTTCTGTGTTCAAAAAAATATTTAAAACCCTTCCAAATGACATCCCTCTGAAAATTTAAAGATTGTGTTCATAATCTTTTGGTATGCCATCTCTAAATTAAACAACCTCAACTAGTTCTCAGAGGATATGTTTTCAGCTTCTTCACCACTTAAGTCACTTTCCACTGACTGAGATCTACATTCTTTTTTTTTTTTTTTTTTTTTTTTGAGTTGGAGTCTCACTCTGTCGCCCAGACTGGAGTGCAGTGGCCGCTCCCGGCCACCGCAGCCTCGACCTGCTGGGCTCCAGCAATCCTTCTGCCTCAGCCTCCCAAGTAGCTGGAACTACAGGCACTACCGCGCGCTACCACGCCCAGCTAATTTTTAAAAATTTATTGTAGAGATGAGGTCTCGCCAAGTTGCCCAGGCAGGTCTCGAACCCACGGGCTCAGGCAATCCACTCACCTCAGCCTCCCAAAGCGCTGGGATTACAGGCTTAGCCACCAAGCCCGGCGAGATCTACATTCTTTACACCCATTTCAAGTATGAAGCCCACCATGGAATAGAACTCAGAGCTGAGTAAGCCTTCAGCAGACAGGGCCTCTCACTGCTAGTATTTATTCTCCACATCATCCATCCTATCAACACACCCAAAGATCACATTCGTTTCTTGCAGTCATCTCACCTTCACTTGAGGTAACTCAAATCCTTAACATGTTTTTCCCCGTTTCCCCCACATATTCCAAGAATAGGACCTGGCATTTTAAAATTTTTTTTGGAACAAATGTATAATATAAACACCCAGTACAAAATTTAAAAATATGTAATTAAATTTTATCTTGTCAGATTCAGTACATTCCTTAAGTATATACTGTGATATTTTTGGATAAACATTTAGGCACCCAATGTATTTACTACAATTGTATTTTCTATTTGCTACAAGTGATTATTTACTATTACTTGTGGCTTTATGTTATCCTCACATATAATTATCAGTATTTTGTATTTTGTCTGAGGTAACTGAGAATACTAAACAGCACAAGGCAAAGGTGAGAGGAGTCTTGTGGCCAGTGAACTAAAAATCAATGAGTAGAGTAGTTTAACCTGTTATTTATCTATCCAGGGGCAGCAAGCTAAGGCCCAGGTAGTGCCACCTGTCTCTGTAAATAAAATTTTATACTAGAACACATTCTTGCTCATGTGGATGCTTTCACAGCCCAGTGACGGAGTTAAATAGTTGGGACAGAGACTGTATAGTCTGCAGAGCCTAAAATTTTATATGGACCTTTATAGAAAATGTTTAACAACCCCTGACCTAGGCTGTATTTCCTCTCTCATGTATAGCTTGGTAAAGCCCTATAAATGTTTACATATAGTACCTCCATCGCATTTCCCTGAAATAACAGCTGAGTCACCCTTTCAATAAGAGTAAGTTAGTCTGACTTTACTACACCTGTAAAACTATATGATTGATTTTTGTAATGATGATTCCAAAGTCCTATACAATCACAATACAGTAATGAATGGTTCAGAATAAGTTTGGAAACAGGTAACAATTTTTAAAATTTACATTTTTGAAAATATAAAATGCACCAGAATACCAGCAAAGGTAAAGCAGAAAGGGTATTGGTGATGATTGATGTGGTCTGTTTTCTTGGCCTAGGTGGTCTGCAGGCCTTTTCTTGTGTTTAAGCTAGAAATTCAGGAATAGGATTAAGAATGTACTTAGACTTAACTGATGAAGTCACAATATGATTTACTCTATGACTTACTAATGTATTGGACTTCTAGGTGGCACATATTTACTAAAATGGAAAGTAGAAGGCATTCATTTGATGTATATATAATGACAGACACCAAGACAGTTATATAACATCTACTGGATGCTTTCTATGTGTCAAGCACTGTACTGAGCACTGAGTACGGAGTGGTGAGCAAAACAGGCATGTCCCCCTGGAGCTTAAAACCTAGAGGAAGAGACAAATAATAATCATTTGAAAACAATGTGTACTTAATTACAAATCCTTAGGAACAAAAAGAACATGGTCCTGTGTGATAAAGAATACTAAGGGGAGAGTTAACTTTCAATCAATTCAGGAAAGGGTACTCTGTGGAGGTGACATTTAAGCTGGGGCCTGAAGGATGAAAATGGACAAGCTATAGGAAAGGAGGAGGAAGGACATCATAGCTTGAGGGCAGGCAGGAAAGAGCTTGATGTGTACAAGATGGACAAGATCCTTGCTCAGCAAGAGCTTATATTCGGGAAAGAAGCCCTATTCATGCACAACTCACCCAAGGTAGCTTCAACACGGGAGGCACAAACCAAGAGCCAGGGAATTGGAGGTAGAAAAATTCACTTCCAGCTAAAATAGCCAGGAAAGCCATCATAAGAGTCCTCTTTCTGATTTTGTAGCAGGACCAGGGGACTTTTCAAAATCCTTACTCCTTCACCAGTTTGTGAGCTCCACCAGGGCAGGGACCTGTGTTTGTCTTGCTCACCTCTGCATTCCCAGAGTCTGGCAGCACTAAATTTAGGATCATTTATATATTTGCACCAATTCCAGTGCAAAGATGCTTAATGGTACAGGTAATAAAGCATAAAGGGACAATAAATCAACCTTTACATGTAAAACATCATGATTTGACTGAAAAAAAATCGCAGGTAGGTACCTATACAAATTTAGAAATTAATTTGCAAGGGAAAAATAATAAACAAAGTTGTCTCATAAAAGTCAAAACATTATTTTTCTTACTTCTTCAGAGACAGTTTAGATTTCACAAATAGAAATGGAGTTCCACAGAAATTTCTAGAAACTTACAGGCTTCTTGAAGGAACTTCTCTCTCACGCTGTCCGAAGTACAGTTTTTACATGTTTTAATTGCAACCGCCAAAGCTGGATTCTCCTGTGTTAGGGAAATTATAGAATCACACACGTGCAAAAAGGTTCACTATATTAATCAATTCATGAAAAGCTGGGTTTTTTTGCAACTATGTGGATTATGGACAAGAAGGAATCAGAAATGTAAAATCTTAAGACCGAGAGGAGTAAGTTTTTAAAAATTCTGTATAAAGTCCCCAGAGACAAATGGACATGCATGTGAAACATTGCAGGCAATTCATTTACTCATTTATCCACACCATTCTAGATGCCTGGGAAGTACCCGTGAACAACAGAGGTAGCAGCACCCGTTCTTGTCAAACTTACATTCCAGTGAAAAACACAAGCACAAAGAGTTAATTACACAGTGTGTTAAAAGGTAGCAGTGTTATAGATAAGGGAGAAAGTAAATCAGGATCTGGGAGCTGGGAGTAGTGGCTGCTATATGAGGCAGACCTCACTGAAGAGATGAGATGAGAACAGTGAACTGAAGGAGGGAGGAGGGAGCCAGTCAGGTGGCCCAGAGGGGGAAGTTTTGCCTAGCCAAGGAACGGTGGGGAACAGCATGTATGGCGTGCTTAAGAAAACACAAGCAGGTGTGAGGCTGGAGCAGACCATGTAAGGGAGGAGGGTAGTGACAACTGAGTCAGAAAAGAAAGGAGGGGCCAGACCACATGGGGCCTTCTAGTCCAATATAAAGACATGGCTTTCACTGTAAATGAAATGGAAGGGTTTGGGCAGAAGAGTACTATGACCAGACCTAAAGTTTAGGAAGAACACTCTGCTATGGTACTGAGAAATGGCTGCAGAGGGCCAGGTTAGGCACAGGAGGCTCTGCAGGCAGCTACTGCAGTAACCCAGGTGACAGAGGATGGCGGCTCAGACAAATGTGGTAGCTGTGGAGGTGGGGAGAAGGGTTGAGATTCTGGATATACTCTTAAACTGGGGCAAAGGTGGCTCCTGATGGACTGGGTGTGAGAGTCAGGTGTTTGGCTAGATGAACTGGTAAGACGGAAGGGGAAGATGAGAAGCTCAGCTTTGGATGCAATAAGCTTGAGATGTCAGTAAGACAGTCAAGGAACAAAGGTGGAGCAGGCAAGACACTGTGACTGGAGTTTAGGAGAGAAGTCTGAGCTGGACATAAAAATCTGAAAGTAGTATAGTCCATGGGATTGGATGAAATTACCAAAGGAGACAGGAGAGGTCCAAGGATTGTGCTTTGGAGCTTCACAATATGAAAAGGTCAGGGAGAAGAGTAGAAAACAGCAAAAAAGACTAAGAAGACATGATTAGCAAAGTAGAAGGGAAAAAAAAAAGGTTGCCCTGGAAGCCGAAAAGTTTATCTTTTCTCAAACAAGTTCGAGCTAAGAAATACAAGAAATAAGAGGCCATTGTGAGCAAATCAATAGAATACTATGGATGACTCTATATAGCAACTGTATGTGCTTATCTTACCCTTGGCTTTATCTTTGCCAGAATCATCTATTCGTTTTATTTCATATTGTATATATTTGTAAGATGCTCAACTGTAAGTTAGCTCACCTAATGCCAAAGGACCCAAGTATCATTTATATGTTACTTTCAAATTTATATATCTAGCCCTGACTTTTCTATTGAGCCCAGAAGCATATTATCAAATCTACCTATTCCCCATCTTGACTTGGTGTAGGAAAGCTATTTTAAACTTGATCTGACCAAAACAGAAATCCCACTGTCAGGGTGATTTTTTTTTTTTTTTTGAGACAAGGTTTTGTTCTGTTTCCCAGACTGGAGCACAGTGGCACTGTCACAGCTCACTGCAGCCTTGAACTCCTGGGCTCAAGAGACTGTCCAGCCTCAGCCTCCCAAGTAGCCAGATTACAGGCATGAGCTACCATATCTGGCAGCGAGGGAGGATTACGTGTTCACTTGACTCTGCCACAAGGTGCTGGGACATTGGTTCAACATTATTCTGGTGTTTCTGTGAGGGTGTTTTTGCATGAGTTTAACATTTAAATTGGCAGACTAAGTAGAGCAGATTGCCTTCTCCAATGCAAGTGGGCCTCACCCAAGGCCCTGCCATGAACAAGAGGAAACTCCTCTTGCCTAATGGCCTTTGAGCTGAGATGCCAATTTTTTCCCTGCCTTCAGGCTTGAACTACATCATCAGTTCTCTGGGTTCTCAGGCCTTCAAACTTTGACTAGAACTATCCCATCGGCTTTCCCGAGTGTCCAGCTTGCCAACCGTAGATCTTGGGGCTTGTCAGCCTTCATAACCACATGAGCCAATTCCTTATGATGAAAATCCATACCTCTACACATCCTATTGGTCCTGTGGCTCTGGAGAACAATGGCTAGTACATCCATAATCAAATCTGCTTCTTCACAGTCTTCTCCGCCTCACCTAAATAACCAGTGTTCACACAGTTGCTCAAGTAAACAATCTAGAAGCCATTTTTGAATCTGGTATTTCCCTCACCCCTATATCTGACAATCCAGGAGCAAGCTCTATTTCCCTGCCCACAGCATTCATCCAGAATCTGACCTACCCATTCCCACTCTACTGTAAGCTCCTTAAATCTACCACCAAGCCAGGCTCGGTGGCTCAGCCTGTAATCCCACGCCTTTGGGAGGCTGAGGTGAGTGGATTGCCTGAGCCCGCGGGTTGGAGACCCGCCTGGTCAGTGAGACCTCATCTCTACAATAAATCAAAAAATCAGCCAGGCGTGGTAGCCCATGCCTGTAATTCCGGTTACTTGGAAGGCTGAGGCGGCAGGATCGCCGGAGCCCAGCAGGTCGAGGCTGCGGTGGCCGGGAGCAACCACGGCACTCCAGTTTGGGCGACAGAGCGAGACTCCAACTCAAAAAAGAAAAAAAAGGAAAAAAGAAAAAAATCTACTACCAGCATACTGGGTAGAGCAGTCACTGCTCCCTTGCTCCATTCCTCACGGCACCATCTGCCTTTGTCCCTCTGCCACCCACTCTCCACATGGCAGTTAGACATTTCTAAAATGTTAATCAGACTAACCTTCTCAGGGGTTCCCTTCCCATGATACTCAGAATAAAAGTCCAGCTATTTTCTTGGAGCACAGACCAATTCACCCACCTGAATCTCTCATTCCCAGCCTCATGGCTGCTAACAGGGCTTTCTTGCTGCTTCCCTTCTTGTTCTGTGTGCCTGGAATGCTCCTGCCCCAGAAATCTCCAGTGAGGCCCTTGTTAAGAGGCCTTCCCTGACCATCCCGTCTCACACAGTATCCAATCACCTTTCTATCCAATCACTTGCTTTCTTTATAACCCATCTATAAATGTATTATTCACTTATATATATGTTCATTATGTACATTTACTATTCTCTCATATTATTACATCATATATTATAATTATGTTATAATATATAGATAATATACATTGTCATTCACATTATTACTGTTTTCCATCACCAGATGTAAGTTTCAAGAGGGCAGTTACCTTGTTTGTCTTGTTTGTGTGCTAATAAATCTTTAGGTAAACTTCATGTTTCTGACTCTAAGAATGAGGATCAAAGTTCTTATTCTAAGGCCTGCAAGGCCCCACGCCCTTTGGAGGCCTTTGTAGGCTTGCTTCCTTTTACTTTCCTCCTTTCCCATTAATCTGCTGCCATACCAGCCTGCTGGTGGTGCCCCATCCTACCTAGAGGCCTTTGCACTGGCTGTTCCTTCTGCCTAGAACACACTTCCCCATGGCTGGGACGCTCATGATCTGCTCCCTGCAGTGCTTCAGAGCTCTGCTGACACATCATCTTGTCAGAAATTCTTTTTGCCCATCCCACATGGAAGAGCAGACCAAGCATTGTCTGCTCTTCCTTGCCCAGGTATTGTTTCTCTCAAAGCATTTCTTATTCCCTTCTTGATATTTAGTGTACTGGGTTTTTGTTTTTGTATTTAAAGTGAGAAAGCAAGATTAACTGAGAAGACAGAAAGGTTCCCACAGTGGGAGGAGACCCGAAGTGGTTGTCCAGTGTACTGGTTTTTATTTGTCCCCTTGTGGTCTCAGATAGAATTTAAGTTTTCTGAAAGCAGGGAACATCGCCTGTTTTCTCTATTACTATGTTCTCACCATCTAGAAATAGTAACAGTCACACAGTGGACAACTGATAAATAACTGCTGAAAGAGTTAATCAGACCTCAAATTAAATAAGCAATGGCAGGTCTTTGCTCATGAGATTTATGCTGAGTTACAACTGACCAATTATTAAGATATCTTGATAAAATATAATTTGATTTTACACTAAAAAGCATAATCTGGAAGAATTTATAATAGGAACCTAGAGAAATGATTACATTGCTTTGTATTATAAAATTAGACTTCCACATTAATAACAAAATGAATACCCACAAGCAACATACATGAGAAAGATAGTCAACAAAATGTGAATCCCTGAGGGTAGAGAATCATTCCTGCCAGGTGAGGGGGGTGGGATCAGCAATATTGGGAAACTGCAGGAGGAGGGGCCACATCTCATTGACAAGGGTACCTGCATAATGAACATTTGTATACCTAACCCTGAATTGTACCCCACATCGTTAAAAAGAAAAAAAAAAAAATAATTCAACAAATATTTAGTAAACATTAAATTACTGATATTACATAAGAAGACCGACTCCTAAACACATTGTAATTCGCCTACACAAAGTAGGTATAAAAGAAAAAGTCCTAAAGGCAGCAAGAGAGAAAGGTCAGACTACCTACTGGGGAAGACCAACTAGAATGGCAGCAGACTTATCCACAGAAATACTTTAGGCGAGGGAACCTTGGAGCCCAATCTTCAAAGTTCTCAAAGATAAACAATTTCAACCAAGAATTAGCTACCCAGCTAAGCTTCATCAGTGATGGAGAATTTAAATCTTTCCCAGACATTCAATCCCTAAGAGTTTATGCTGCCTCCAGATCAGCACTACATGAAACACTTAAGAAAGTATTAAACACAGAAGGGAAAAAAGAACAACGCCCTTCACAAGAATGCAGGAGAAAGATTGAAAACATGAATCAATCCAAAAATCAAAA